TAAGGGAGACTAACAACACAAATAGTCTGGCTAAAACAGTGTAAAATCTCTCAAAAAATGGGTTGAGATTTGCTACATGAAAACTAAGGCTTAAAAATGTTTAGAGGTATATTACAACTAGGTTCGTAATGCAAATGAACTAAAAGGTAATTAGCTAGTCTCTACAACGAAATTACCAGCGTGTAGGGAACACCATCGAAAGGTCAAGGTCGAAATGCCTTGTTCTCTTTCGGTTTAGGGGGCGGCCAAAGGCGGCCGCGACAATATCAGAGTTAGAGATTACGGCAGGTTCAGTTTGGAAGGTGGTCGTTGGTCGCGAAAAGTCAGACATGCTTCGAATGTCATCAAAAGACAACATACGCCCGTTAAACTGTTCAGTTTGCTATCGATTTCATTTACGCCTCATCTTGGTTTCGCTCGTCTATAACAGTAGGTTACAACTCAAGAATAAAATCTGTTTTACTCCTAGTAGTTGTCATAGTTTTATTCGTGGGTAACGATCAGTCAGAAGAGTTATTTTTATGCCACAAGCGTTTGATTGAAAAAAAAAACTGCACCCTGAGAACGAATCTGGTTTCTAGTCTGAGCTGCAATATTACAAAACATTGTGGTTTCGCTTTAAGAAGTCAATTTGGCCTGAAAATGGCAATTTAAATATATCTGTTGATAGTTACCATTCCATAATATTTAAATCAAAACATCTGGATAAATTCTGTTTCCGACTCAAAAAGGTAATTTGAGTCTCTCCTTTGAAAATGATCGTTCATTATTGTCAAAAAGACAACGACTGGATACTTTTTGTTTTCATCACCAAAAGGCAATTTGTGTAGATATTTTGAAAATCTTCATCCTTTATTGTTTAAATCAAAACATCTGGATGATATTTGTTTTCACCTGAGAAGATTACTTTGAGTATATCCGTTGAAAATGGTGTTTCTTTATTGTTTAAATGATCGTTCATTTATAGAATTTTTATGGCAAGAAAAGACCACACGAAAAAAATAATTCAAATAAATTTTTGAGTTAACAATAATTTAATGACATGGGCGCACAACAATGACAAACGACACGAGTTTAAAAAAACAACATACGAACAATTTATTCTTTACAGAAAAAATGAATTTGAACAAATTAAATGCATTTTATACCAATTAATGGCCAATAATGATATTGTAGAGGAAAGTGTGTTAGCGTGTTGTTGAATTAGGACGACGTGCGTTTATTCCTGCTAGAAAAGGTCCAACTACAAGAGCATGGCGGACTCGGTGATTCAATTCACCATAAAGAAGTGTAAAGAAAACAAACAAGACCGATATATATTTCGGGATAACAACTGAGACATTACTCTATTTATTGAACAATTTAGTTAATGCCAAATTGACTGATAAACAACAACAAAAAAAAAATTCTCAAATTACTATATTAGTAAAAAACGCACTCTCTTAAATTTTCAAAAAAATTCAATCTTAGCGTTGCAACTGCAGGTTCCAAAAGTTTTTTGTCCGTTAACAATAACACATTTCTAAAAAAACATATTTCGATTCGCATTTAATCTTTCGTCTCCGCTACTACCTGGATTTACTACAAACAAAATTTCTATGCCTGACGATGACTGAATATACAACCGAAAGTCCTAGCAGATTAAAAAAAAAAGTCCTTATACAACTTGAAGTTATTAAAAACAAGGATCATAACATTCATCGAGTGGTTCGTAGGTTAAGGCAACTTAAACAAATTTGTTTGCGAAGAAGTTTTTCGCCATTTTATATCATTAACTTTACTAATCTACTTTTTGCATGAATGATTCATGTAATATATATATATATATATATATATATATATATATATATATAATAATTTTTGTTTAAAAATATGATTCCTCCGCTACATAAGAGTTCTCATGTTTCAAAAACGAAAGCCGAAACCATCCAAATAATTATTAAAATTAAGTTGAATTGAGGTGTTTAGTCCCTTTTCATGTTCAAGCGAAATTTTAGGAATAAGCTATCTCTTGGTTTACGTGTGTTTTAAGGCAGGGTCCGTTATAACATTCGTTATTGTGGGAGTGGCTAGGCGAGTCATCTTGGTTAAGTGGTCAGAGAGTTAATTCTTATCTATAGATTCATCATTTTCTGAGAGGTTTTGCTAAGGTTGGCTAGGATATATATTTCAAGGCTAATGTTGGCGGTCATCCTCTAGTTAATTACAATGGACATAGACATTAACATTTGTGTTTGTGTGTGAACGTAAAGAGTTTGTATTTTGGTGAATGTTCGTACGTACGTGTATGTATGTTCCATGGCGTTTTCCCACAAGTGGGCAAAAACGCTGATCTCTGTGAGAGATTACATTTTTAAATGTGTCCGCTGAAATGCAAAGTGAAAGAGAACGAGGCAAGAAGTTGTTCAGAAGTTGTTCAGTGTTTATAGTGCAGAGAGAGCGACCCCTAGTGAACAATTGGGAAATTAAGGAGGAGCTAACTCCAACAATATTAATGAAAATGAAATCTGCCTGTTTTTAATTATAATGCTGCAGAAGAAGGCACTCAGAAAAGGAAACTACATAAGATGAAGAAAATGAGAAAAGACTTCTCTGAATAGTTTTCAAAGAATTGGTACAATTTTCGAAGCAAAGTTCGTGGTAATAGCGAAGAATAAAACAAGCACACCAACTAAAGACCGTTCCTTGATGTGGGAGCGACTTTGATGTTCTTTACAATTCTCGTCTGTTAGTTGTTAAATTTCTTCTGTGTTGTTTTTCTTTCTGGACCGGGACGACCCGAGTTCCTGCAGCAGCTGCTTGTCGACTCCGAAAATGAAATCCAAGCCCCCCCCCCGTTCTCTTAAAAAAGCTACAGGTAGATTCTATATATACGTTTCGGAATTTGGAAGGAAACCCTTTTATTGGTTCTGGATAGAAAACAAACGCAGATGTTTTCCAACAAATCGAAATGTACTAAAAAATATCTTTGAAATTCAAAAATTAAGCATGAGACTAATGCAGCGTCTGCTTTCTCTCTGAAAGGCAGACGATGCACGCTCAAGCAGCTCCAATTTCTTATACCGCTTGCGTTCAACTTAAACAGGGTCTTACAAAGGCTTTTATGTCATTTGATGTCGCCAAACCATGTCACCTTCCTAACACCTCGAAACGATCTAATTAATTTATTAACACAAATTTATTGTATACCAAATGATGGCCAATAATGATATTAATGAAAATGAAATCTGCCTTTTTACAATAAAAATTATAATTCTGCATAAGATGGTCCCCAGAAAAGGAAACTACATAAAATGAAGAAAAAGGAGAAAATGCTTCTCTGAATAGTTTTCAAAGAATCGGTACAATTTTCGAAGTTCGTGGTAACAGAGAAAAATAGAACAATCATGCCCGCCGAAGACTTTTCCTTGATATGGGAGTGACTTTGTTCCTTTCAATTCTCGTTTGGTGGATCTAAAATTTTTTCTGCTTTGTTTTCTTACGAGACCAGCACTACCTGGATTCCTTGAAATCAAATCCAAGCCACACCTCTTAAATAACCTCACGGAATTCTGCCTTTTATTGGTTTTGGATAAAAAACAATCGCATCTTTATTTTTTGAATGATAACATCTTGATACATTCTGTTCAACCCGAGAAATAGGCTGTCCTGGGTATGAAGGTTAACTACATCCGACAGCAAGGCCTCTGATCAGGAGGTTTTGAAGAACGTATAATCACCTTTTAATTGCTATTTTTTCCGGGTCCAACGTGACCCGGGTAGTAGTACCTGTTAAGGTTCCAGCTACGGGCAAATAGTGAACCCCTAAACTGGGATCAAAACACTATGAAAGTATAAAAATGTATTTTTATAGTTAAAATATCATCAATACATTTTTGCAAAAGTATTACCAGCAATACATTTGACTCTCAACAAAAACCCTTTTCACAAAAATACATCAATGAAACCTGATCTACAAACTGGTTTCTTATAAAGAATACATATTCTGTTTATACGAACCTATCCTAAAAATGGTCAGTATTAAATAACCCACTGAGGTGTTGATATGCCGTAAAACAAAATAAAGGAAACCAAACCTATCGTTTTTGTAGTTGCCCATAGTCTCCAACTGGAATATCTTCTTATCCAACAAACGAAAAGCTTGTCCCCACCTTCACCCCCGGTTACATTAACCTTTGGAATATATATCATGTGCATATGTAAACACTATATACATTACGTGTTTTATAAAGCTCACCCCCCCCCCGCATTTAAAAAAAAAAAAACTTTTTGAGAAAAAAAAACAAATTACGAAATATTACATAAATAGACAATATCGAAAAGTTTTAGAAAAAAATAACAAAAAGAAAAGTGAAAATATTAATCTGAGATTATGAAGTCATTATTCCACATGCAATAAAATCAATAATACTGCCTTTTTGACAGGATTAACACCCAAATTATCAATTGAAAAAAAATTAAACCAAAGTAGAAATAAGACAAACAATCTTCAGGTTAGTTGTACAAAAGCAAATAAATATAGAGTGACCAAAAAATTGGGAACTTTTTAACAATCCAATAAAACGAAGAGTAATGGAGGAAAAATATTTGATTCATAGTAATTGAAACCTTAAAATATGCCATTTAAGAAACAATGAGGGAATTTTTATTTTTTAAAAATTACGTCTTGTAGATGGCGTCCTCCTGTACGAATGCATTCTTGAAATCTGCTGTTGAGATTCCTCATTGACTGCTGCAACATCTCAGCTGGGATACTGTGAATATCACCTTGAATTCTAAATGGCGAAATGTTTACTTGCTCAAGGTCACTGTCTCGCAGTGTTGCCACTTGCTCATGTCTGGCAATACGCACTTCAAAAATGCCCGTTTTTTGGGGTCACCCTGTATTAATACAAAAAAGTAGATAATAATGCTGTAAGAAATAATAATAATATATAACTTCAAATAAAATATATATATATATATATATATATATATATATATATATAATAAATATATACTGTTGTATATAGATAGATAGATAGATAGATAGATAGATAGATAGATAGATAGATAGATAGATATATGTCGGAGTTAGCTCCTCCTTAAAAAGAAAATTGTTCATTAGGGGTCGCTCTCCCTACACTATAATTACTGGGCTATTTCTTGCCTCGTTCTCTTTTTCATTTCTTCATTTCAGCGACTACAATGTAAGCTCTCACAGAAGGTCGCATCTTCCCATTTGTGGGAGACGCCATGAATATTATACACACACACGTACGTACGAACTTTCACGAATTGTTGATGTCTTTGTCACTTGTAAATTTGTTGCTTCATACATATATTTGTTGATATATATATATATATATATATATATATATATATATATATTCATGAATTATTCATACAAAAAACAAATACAAAGGTTAATGATTTAATTGGCGAGAAATCCATATTCGCGGACAATTCAAATAATATACAAAAACCCCGAACCTGTTTATGAATAATATGATCCTTGTTTTATAAATTTCAGTTGCATAATATATTTGTACAAGATATATTTGTACAAGAACGCACTATATGTGTACAAGAACGCACAACCTTAAAATTTAAATTCAAACTCAGCGTTGCGACTGCACCTCCAAAATAATAACACATTTCTAATAGCATTTTTCGGATTACAATACATCTATTTTCGTTGTCCTCTTATTACTGAGAGTAAAAACAAGAACAAAATCTATTCCATACCTGGGGATGTCTGTAGGAACAGACGAAAGCTTGTAAAAATAATAAGAACTTATGCAACTGAAATTTATAAAACAAGGATCATTTCATTCATAAACAGGTTCGGGGTTTTTGTATATTATTTGAATTGTCAGCAAAGATGGATTTCTCGCCAATTAAATCATTAGCCTTTGTATTTGTTTTTTTGTATGAATAATTCATGAATTTGTAAATTAATTGCACCTTTATTATAAATTAATATATATATATATATATATATATATATATATATATATATATATATATATATAGATTGTTTGTTTTTCTTTACCTCTTTGGTTGGACTCAACTTGAGTTAGCCATGTTCTTGTAGTTGCACTTTCTTCTAGCAGGAAATAAACGCACGTATTCCTAATTCAAAAACATATAAACTCACGGTCCTCTACAGATATATAGAGATATATTAAATGACATGACGGCAAAATACAAAATTACCTCATGAATATACAGTCTTTTTCAACCAACGTCAATGCGTTGGATTTGTTCAACTCAAATGTAACGGAACTCGAAATTTTTAATATATATATATATATATATATATATATATATATATATATATATATATTAAAAACGACAGATAAGGTGCTTTTATTTATTTTTTTATACAATTTCTCGTGATGTAAAATTTTTTTGTTTGTTTTTATTAATAATGCTTCCATTATTTGAAAAATGGCAGCCTTTATTAATAAAAAAAAAAAAAACAATACTTAATAATATTAACTTTGAACATGGACATAATATCTTGACCGTGTTTTGAAAAATGAAGAGATTTTATAAAACATACATACAACAAACTATTTCTTATTTTAACAGTTAAAATATAATCCTTGAAAATGGCTAAATGTATAGTCGAAAGCGCTCAGATAAAAAGAACATTCGGACAGTTTTTATATAATTTATCATCCGAAAAGAAAAAAAAAAAAATTAGATCGCATTAGAAATTGTATAAAAAACTAAATAAAAGCACCTTGTCTGTCGTATTCAATGAAATGTGAATGAAAGACTAAATACACGCACACACACATATATATATATACTTTTTATTATGTATATATATATATATATATATATATATATATATATATATATATATAGTGCTCTTTCAACAATAGAAATAAAAGGAATCAGACATCTCTATCTAAATAGTTTGGGCATTTGAAGGAAATGAATAAAACACCAAAGTAAAATGGAAAATTATAAACAAAACTAGAACTTGTAAAACTTGAGATGACCCATGGCCTTTATGCCTACATGAAAAACTACACATTATTAAGTTTCTAAATAATAAACATCTATTAAACAATAGACATGAGTTAACGTTTTTTTGCCGACATCATCAAATTTTTGCATTGAATAATTAGCATAAAAACAAACAAACAATAAAATAATTTTTAAAAATCCTTAGTCCTAATAAATAGTTTAAATGCCCTACAAAAAAAGATAACCCTTTATGAAGTCGTCAAAAAACAAATGTTAGCGATTTACGACAGTTTTTGTATACACAAAACCCTTTCAGAAAAAAATAAAAAATAAAATAAATAAATGAATAAATTTCCATAGACGCTTAACCAGACTAAGCGATGTCTTCTTCCGCTTTAAATTTAGACACCCCAACCTTACCCTGACTTGATTTTCTGTGAATGTAACTGAGATATCGATACAAATTATTAACACCTTACGCCCCGTTTTCTTTAAACAATTACTCTAGCCGTTACCATAGAAATTTTGATTTTAATAATGAATATGCTTAAACGTAAATTTCAGAAATAAGTTATTCCATAAAAAATTTCGCTTGAAGATGGAACAGAGATTACTTTAATTCAATTTAATTCAAATAATTATATTGAAGTTTTCGGCTCTTGTTTTGAAACATGAGAACTCTTACATAGCGTGTTGGAATCATATTTTTAAATAAATAATTATATATATATATATATATATATATATATATATATATATATATATATGTGTGTGTGTGTGTATACTGTTGTATGTCTCTCTCTATATATAATATTTTATATATATGTATATATATATATATATATATATATATATATATATATATATATATTATTCGCAAAATCTTAATAGATGATTTATTCTGATTCTTAGTCACTCAATTGTTTTCTCTTTTTCAGGGGGCGAAAATTATTGTTTACCCCGAAAATGGACTGGTGGGCGTTTTCCTAGATCGATTCACTGTGAACGCTTACCTAGAAGAAATTCCAGATCCTGAAGAGGTTCGCTGGAATCCGTCTGAGAATCCGAACACCTATAATGGAACAGATATCCAACGGGAATTGAGTCGTATTGCAAAAGAAAACAAAATTTATATCGTAGCCAATATGGGGACTAAAAAGCCTTGCAGCTCACATGAGCATCACACATGCTCAATCCTTGGTCAGCATCAGTATAACACTAATGTGGTGTATTCGGATGATGGGACCTTAATCGCCGTCTACCATAAGTATAGCTTGTTTTCTGACGCTGGTCCTTTCGATTCTGCCAAGAAACAGGAATACGTGATCTTTAACACGCCGTTTGGCAAATTTGCTACAGTGATTGGTATTGAGTTACTCTCAGGTCAGCCTACCTTCATTTTGCTCGAAGAGTATAAAGTTCGGAATCTTATTCTGACGAGTACGTGGGTAGAGATAACCCCTCTTTTCAGGTCCATAATGGTTTATTCCGGGTTTGCCCGAGCTAATTCTGTTAATCTTCTAGTTGCTGGTCTCCATTCTATCGAGACGCGTTTCTATGGCAGTGGACTTTTCACCCCTCAAGGAGCACGTGCCTATTCTTACGAAACAAGGAAAGACTTGAGTAAACTGTTAATTGCCGACATGGACGCTATCAGCGAGGATAATCCACTTTCTCAAAGTATGATCCTTCCGCAAATAAATCCCAACATTGTTTCAAAAGGAAAGCACCTCCATGGCTCTGTGTTTGGAATGCAGTTTCACTTTTTACCTTTAAGCAAGAGCCGGAGTTTAGTCGGTATTTGTAGCGGAGATTTTTGTTGTAGTCTACAGTACGAAATCCAGGAGCTGACAGAGACGTACGCGTTGGGCGTAGGTAACGGTTTAATCATTATTGAAAACAATAGATTTTATGCTCAGGTATGTTCATTAAGCAAGTGTCCAAAGTCAGGAAACTGCGTTATACAGATCAATGAGGCGAAAACAATCTTTAAACATTTCATTTTATCGGGCCACAATTACAAAACAAGACAAATTGCGCCGCAGGTTGTCGTCATGAACGAATCTTCTTATGTACTTGCTGACCGGGAATGGAATTATGACTACAAGGCCCGGATTTACGTAAACAAACCGATGTCAAAGCCTTTGCATTCTGCAGTACTGCTTGGACGAGTTTATGACAAGGATTATGTTTACGAGGGCCGAGGTCAAAATAGTTACTTTAATTCGGCCATGATGAAACATAGTCGGTATGTATTTGTGACTATGTCTATCTTGTTGTGCGTTTAAATGCACCAGGATACAACTTCAAACTTTTAGAAATCCGAAAAAGACAGTGAACATAACTTCAAATTGCTACAAATTACCCACAATACGTGTTGCCATGCGTATAAAAAAAAGTTCAAAAGTTGAAAGTTGAAAGGATTCCTTTTAAAAAACTTACTCACACACATTTTTCTTATAGTTAACATTATTGAATGAATAAATTAAAACATAAAAATTAATTTGAAAATTTTTTATTAGTTAAAAAAAACTCCTTCTTTCTAAATAAATACAAAAAACTCCGTTTTGGCAACTGAAATGGCTTTAAATGGAACATACACGATCGTTGCATTCACGGGATTCTTTTTATATGTGGAAGGAGGGGTGTGAGAAAAGAAAGGGGAAGAGAATGTGTGGAAAGAAGAAAAGGTAGAAGAAAAGGAAGAATAAATTAACATATATGGACATATTGAGGTTAATTTGAAAATCCACAGATATATATATATATATATATATATATATATATATATATATATATGGCATTTAAAATTTGACATTAATTTAAGCTTTTAAAATGATCAACAAAATAAACAAGGAAATAAATATAATGTGAATATAAGATAAACAAACAATAAATATTAATATTGTTAATATTATGAAAAACAATTAAGGGGTAAAAATTTTAATTAACATCTGAAGTATCAAATTTTAAATTTTGAATCTTAAAAAAAATTTGAAAGACTTTTCGAAGAGGGAGGATGCAATATAGATAGATAGATAGATAGATAGATAGATAGATAGATAGATGATAAGATAAGACTAGATAGATAGATAGATAGATAGATAGATAGATAGATAGATAGATAGATAGATAGATAATGAGCAGACTGAGATAGATAGATAGATAGATAGATAGATAGATAGATAGATAGATAGATAATGAGCAGACTGAGATAGATAGATAGATAGATAGATAGATAGATAGATAGATAGATAGATAGATTTCGGTAGGGAGGATGTTATATTTCAGCTGTGTACTGGTCTGAATTTAAAATGTGTAATTAAAAATCCAACGAGATCGGTAAACTGTTCTTCCGAATATTAATCAGTCTGTTTCTTCAGGCAAGGTTGCCTGGTGTCCTGGAATCTATGTTGATGATCTGCTACTGGTCTCATGTTCCTTGTCTGATGACGTGAAGGTATTTAGGAAAGTTAGGTACCTGACATCGCCCATTTTTATACATTTTAATATGGTCCACTTTACCGTTTGTATGGTTCTTTCTACCATTCCATTGAATTGGGTAAATTCTAAGCTACTGGTGTCATGTACCTTGTCTGATGTCTTGCGTATATTTGGCAAAGTTAGGTACCTCATGTCTCCCATTTTTATACATTTTAATATGGTCCAATTTACGGTTTGTATCGTTGGTTCTTTTTACCATTTCATTGAATTGGGTAAATTCTGAACTACTGGTGTCATGTTCCTTGTCTATTGATGCGCGTATATTTAGCAATGTTAGTTACCTCATGTCTCCCATTTTTATACATTTTAATATGCTCCCGTTTGTATGGTTCTTTCTACCATTCCATTGAATTGGGTAAATTCTGAACTACTGGTGTCATCTTCCAAACCCAATTTGCTGAGACTTTCTTGAATTTTATCGATGTGAATTCTGGACCGTTGTCAGAAAGGACTATTTTGTGAATTCCATGTCTTGGTAATGCATTTCCACGTGTTTATCATAGTTGATGATGATTTGAAGATATTTGATGTATGTTCTCCTATTGACCTTGAACAGGTCCGTACAACTTTTGTCCAAGGTTTGATCGGGATCTCATCGTACATGTATGGCTGGGCACCGTGACGGTTTTTGTTATTCATGATATGCATTCAATATTACTATCGTATCTTGTATGGCTGTATTTAAGTTTGACAAGAAAAGTGATTGTTTGTCCTGGAATGTTTGTTTTTTTCAATTCCCAGGTGGCTTTGGCGCAAGATTCTGCCAGAGTGTTGAGGGCACTGTAATCTGTTGAACATTGAGAATGTGCCTATCTTGATATGTGAGCTCGGAATTGTAGTGGTGGTATGGCATGTGACAGAAGTCATGGTTGTGGCGATGTTCTGGGTAACCTTTTTTCTTAGTTTGTCATCTTTTGCTATTTTGGTTGGTAGTTTCTTGAGATTCTTTTTCGCTAATTGGGAGTGATGACTTCACCAAGTGGACAAAGTAACTTCTTTCTTTGTCGGAGATTTCAGGTGTGTACCATGTGTCCAGAAAGTTCGTGTGAACTCTAAAAAGATTATAACTTTATTTGTATTTCCGACAGAAATAATCTGTAAAAAATGTTATAAAGTTGACTGTACCTAGTTTTTAGTATAGCTAAAATAACTAATGTGATTACAGGCATTACTGTAATTCAACAGGCAAATGTTTTCCATAAACGGCAAAATCGTATAATCCTTTGTATTGCTAATGATGGAGGACATGTGGAAACTTAAAAAAAAATTCAATAAAACCTTAAAAAAATACAGATTTAATTCTTTCTGATCTTTTTCACAAATTATTTCTATAGCAAATTAAAGTGCACACGAATTTTATGGAAACACGGTACGAGAGAACATTCCTGAAATTCCGACAAGTTACGTTGTTCACTTTATGGACATTCTGTAAATGAAGCTCGGCTTAGAGAGTTGCCAATCTGCATTAGTTAGAATCTGTTACAAGATCCCCTAATGGCGGTAAGATTAAAGACTATGAGAATCTCTTTTGGTTGGGAGTTTGGGGTTGAAGTACAGGATTTTTTTAAAAAGGTTTTCACCCCGAGCAAGACCGGATTAAAGAATCTATTTAAAAATCCTTGTTTGACAGAACATGACCATTATATAGGAGGCAGTGTGCCACAAAACCATATTCAGAATCAGAACCTTGGAGATGGGATTAAAGACTATGAGAATCTACTTGAAAATCCTTGTTTGGCACTATATGACCATTATATAGTAGTCAGTGGGCCATAAAACCATATTCAGAATCAGAAACTTGGAGATGGGATTAAAGACTATGAGAATCTACTTGAAAATCCTTGTTTGGCAATATATGACCATTATATAGTAGTCAGTGGGCCATAAAACCATATTCAGAATCAGAACCTTGTAGATGGGATTAAAGACTATGAGAATCTACTTGAAAATCCTTGTTTGGCACTCTATGACTATTATAGGGTAGTCAGTGGGCAATAAAACCATATTCAGAATTAGAGCCTTGGAGATGGGATTAAAGACTATGAGAATCTACTTGAAAATCCTTCTTTGGCACTATATGACCATTATATAGGAGTCAATGTGCAAAAAAACCATATTCAGAATCAGAAACTTGGAGATGGGATTAAAGACTATGAGAATCTACATGAAAATCCTTGTTTGGCACTATATGACCATTATATAGGATTCAATGTGCCATAAAACCATATTCGGAATCAGAACCTAGTAGATGGGATTAAAGACGATGAGAATCTACTTGAAAATCCTTGTTTGGCACTATATGACCATTATATAGGAGTCAGTGGGCAATAAAACCATATTCAGAATCAGAACCTTGGAGATGGGATTAAAGACTATGAGAATCTACTTTAAAAATCCTTGTTTGGCACTATATGACCATTATAGGGAGTCAGTGGTGCCATAAAAACCATATTCAGAATCAGAACCTTGGAGATGGGATTAAAGACTATGAGAATCTACTTGAAAATCCTTGTTTGGCACTATATGACCATTATATAGGAGTCAATGTGCCATGAAACCATATTCAGAATCAGAACCTTGGAGATGGGATTAAAGACTATGAGAATCTACTTGAAAATCCTTGTTTGGCACTATATGACCATTATATAGGAGTCAATGTGCCATAAAACCACATTCAGAATCAGAACCTTGGAGATGGGCTTAAAGACTATGAGAATCTACTTGAAAATCCTTGTTTGGCACTATATGACCATTATATAGGAGTCAATGTGCCATAAAACCATATTCATTCAACCTTAGAGATGGGATTAAAGACTATGAGAATCTACTTGAAAATCCTTTGGAGATATGGGATTAAATAGAGATCAATGAAAAATCATATTCAGAATCTTGAAAATCCTTGTTTGAGAATCTATTATCCTTGTTTGACTATATGACCATTATATAGGAGTCAATGTGCCATAAAACCATATTCAGAATCAGAACCTTGGAGATGGGATTAAAGACTATGAGAATCTACTTGAAAATCCTTGTTTGGCACTATATGACCATTATATAGGAGTCAATGTGCCATAAAACCATATTCAGAATCAGAACCTTGGAGATGGGATTAAAGACTATGAGAATCTACTTGAAAATCCTTGTTTGGCACTATATGACCATTATATAGGAGTCAATGTGCCATAAAACCATATTCAGAATCAGAACCTTGGAGATGGGATTAAAGACTATGAGAATCTACTTGAAAATCCTTGTTTGGCACTATATGACCATTATATAGGAGTCAATGGGCCCATAAAAACCATATTCAGAATCAGAGCCTTGGAGATGGGATTAAAGACTATGAGAATCTACTTGAAAATCCTTGTTTGGCAATATATATGACCATTATATAGGAGTCAATGTGCCATAAAAAACCATATTCGGAATCAGAACCTTGTAGATGGGATTAAAGACTATGAGAATCTACTTGAAAATCCTTGTTTGGCACTATATGACCATTATATAGGAGTCAACCATTATTCAGAATCAGAAACTTGGAGATGGGATTAAAGACTATGAGAACCTTGAAAATTGTTTGGAATCAGAACCATAAAACCATATTCAGAATCAGAACCTTGGAGATGGGATTAAAGACTATGAGAATCCCTGAAAATCCTTGTTTGGCACTATATGACCATTATATAGGAGTTTGGCCATAAAACCATATTCAGAATCAGAACCTTGGAGATGGGATTAAAGACTATGAGAATCTACTGGTCTTGTAAAAACCATTATTCATAAGATATTCAGAATCAGAACCTTGGAGATGGGATTAAAGACTATGAGAATCTACTTGAAAATCCTTGTTTGGCACTATATGACCATTATATAGGAGTCAATGATGCCATAAAACCATATTCAGAATCAGAAGCCTTGGAGATGGGATTAAAGACTATGAGAATCTACTTGAAAATCCTTGTTTGGCACTATATGACCATTATATAGGCGTCAATGTACCATAAAACCATATTCAGAATCAGAGCCTTGGAGATGGGATTAAAGACTATGAGAATCTACTTGAAAATCCTTGTTTGTCACTATATGACCATTATATAGGAGTCAATGTGCCATAAAACCATATTCAGAATCAGAACCTTGGAGATGGGATTAAAGACTATGAGAATCTACTTGAAAATCCTTGTTTGGCACTATATGACCATTACATGGGAGTCAATGTGCTATAAAACCATATTCAGAATTAGAACCTTGGAAATGGGATTAAAGACTATGAGAATCTACTTGAAAATCCTTGTTTGGCACTACATGACCATTATATAGCAGTCAATGTGCCATAAAACCATATTCAGAATCAGAAACTTGGAGATGGGATTAAAGACTATGAGAATCTACTCGAAAATCCTTGTTTGGCACTATATGACCATTATATAGTAGTCAGTGGGCCATAAAACCATATTCAGAATCAGAACCTTGGAGATGGGATTAAAGACTATGAGAATCTACTTCAAAATACTTGTTTGTCACTATATGACCATTATATAGGAGTCAATGTGCCATAAAACCACATTCAGAATCAGAACCTTGGAGATGGGATTAAAGACTATGAGAATCTACTTGAAAATCCTTGTTTGGCACTATATGACCATTATATAGTAGTCAATGTGCCATAAAACCATATTCAGAATCAAAAACTTGGAGATGGGATTAAAGACTATGAGAATCTACTTGAAAATGACCTTGTTTGAACCTTGGAGATGGGATTAAAGATTGAGAATCACTTGACCATTATATAGTAGTCA